CGCTCTCTGTCATCCTATAGACGGTTCTAGCACTGTAACAAGCCTCCCAATGATGGCCCCCAACCACCCAACACAGATCTAGAGCCGCCAACAGCAAAATTCCATCACGGCGCAATTTCCAGTGAAACTGGAGCACTGTTGAAAGTTGTTAGTTTGGGGTAATTTTCTTAATTAGCAGACATTGGCAGTTAGCGGGATTAGTGTAATTATTTGGCAATCGAGGCAGGTAGGAAGGCCTGCTCTTTTTTAAGGGTTCAACTATTTTGTTACTGTTTGTATTTTTTTTGTGTTAATTTTGCTGTTTTTGTTGTTGAGGATAATTAGAATTATTTGACGTTTTATTACTTGTGCTGTAGCTCTTTAATGTTATTGTTGTTATTATTAGTGAAACAAATGGGGTTATATTTATTTATTTTTTGGTCTTTCTTTCAAGTTTGTCAAAACATGCACCCTGGTGTACATTATTCAGTACTTGCTTAACACTTCCCAGGATAATTTTTATATTGTCAGTTATCATATATTGCTTAAAACGACGTTTTTGGTATATCAGGATATGTAATAAGTGAATCAGAGTTTGCATATGGGTTTTCTACTTATGTTAATTATTTAATAAAATTTCCTAATTAGAAAATGATATATATCCGATTAAATATATATAGATAAGATTGTACGCCTGTGAAAATTATTGGTCAATACTTTAACAACATTCTTGCAGAAATTTAAAAATATGAGCAAAGCATGTGCCTAAGAGTTAGTATGAACTTTGTATTAACGTTCAGCACTGAACATTACATTTCTACTTTCAAATTTCTATTGACAGTTTGAACACAAAGTGTGAGATTAATTTTTTGTGATGAAAGTAAACTCTCAAAGTCGCTTACATTTCCTATTCAAAAACCAAAACGTAAATTAAAGATTCATACAAGGATTTTAGAATGTAACCCACTTATTGTTTTGATATCCATTGAAGGTGACCAGTGTACTCCCTTGGCTGTGCACATGTGTTATGTGGTGAGGGAGAGAGTAAAGAACAGATATATTTTAGATATGTAACAGACTTTTTATCTTATGTTCATAAGATAAAATTAAATTTGAAGGCAATGCGAAGTAACTTTTGTTTACACCCATTCACTCCAGCTCTTGTGAATATCGAATAGATGGTTTGAAGCTTTTCAGGGGAACTATTTCTTTTACGTTATTTATTAACCTATTACAAAGATCTGCTTCCTTGTATCTCGACCAATGTTTACTATTTTACTGCCTAAATTATATTTTTTTCAATTAAATCCAATATTTCGTGTCGTTAATGTAAAATTTACTTTTATTTCCCCAATAAATCACTTAAATAAATGTCTTTACTTTAAGTACTTTCTGGTCTTTGCTCCTAATGCAATATAAATACGGCCATCTAAATTTATCTTAATATAAAATTTCTCACATTCCTGGGATTAATTTAATCACCTTCTCGGAACGGTTGTCAGAGAAATTTCGTGTATTCTATGGTCCACTGGACATACCTTTAACACAGAATACATGTGGGTTGCAGAAGAAGAGTCACAATAACGTGGCTGAAAAATGTTGACCTAACCACACGCTAGAAATTGAAGAGACGACGACGTTTCGGTCCGTCCTGGATAATTATCAAGTCCTGGATAATTATCAAGTCATCCTGGATAATTATCAAGTCGTCCTGGATAATTATCAAGTCATCCTGGATAATTATCAAGTCGTCCTGAATAATTATCAAGTCGTCCAGGATAATTATCAAGTCCTGGATAATTATCAGGTCGTAAGGATAATTATCGAGTCCTGAATAATTATCAAGTCGTCCTGGATAATTATCAAGTCGTCCAGGATAATTATCAAGTCTTAGATAATTCACAAGTCGTCCTGGATAATTATCAAGTCGACAATCGACTTGAGAATGGTCCAGGACGGATCGAAACGTCGTCGTCTCTTAAATTTCTAGTGTGTGGTTTGATCAGCATGTGGGTTCTCATAGGAGCAAGATACATTTGAATTATAGTATTACAAATTTTAATACTGAAACTGGTAGATAAAAATCATAATAAAATAATTATATTTTTCGAACATTTACGTTCGAAAAATATAATTTTTTCACCTAGGTTCATTTTATCGTAACTTTTCTGTTTTTTTTTCCCCTGTGTGCAGTTCCACATTAGTTTTGCTCTGAACCGCATCTGAAAATATGGAGTCTATTTTTGTAGTTAGATTAAGTCTTCAAACGCTTCTGCATTGTCACCTTAATTTATTATTTTTGTTACCGGCGAACTTAGTAATGATACGGTTGACTTCCATATTTAAACCAGTTATACACATTCAAATCACAATCGCGTGTTATATCTATGAGAAAGTTTCTAGAGTCGAGCGGTTGTCCTATGAATAATGAATGTGCCTATGGAGACCAAGGACGCTGGTTCTATTCCACTGCCATGTTTATAGGATTTCCTAAACCGTTAATGAATATGGGGAACAATAAACGTCCCAGGAGAGAAGGAGAGAGCTCTGAGTCACATCACTTGCGACTGTTTCCCAATCTTTCTCTACTCGAAGCTGAGCCTTAGTGTTCTATGTGATAACTATAACTTGTTCCAGTTTAAGCTGAGCCTCAGTTCCCAGTGTGATAACCATAACTTGTTCCAGTTTAAGCTGAGCCTCAGTGTCCAGTGTGATAACCATAACTTGTTCCAGTTTAAGCTGAGCCTCAGTGTCCAGTGTGATAACCATAACTTGTTCCAGTTTAAACTGAGCCTCAGTGCCCAGTGTGATAACCATAACTGGTTCCAGTTTAAGGTGAGCCTCAGTGCCTAGTGTGATAACCAAAACTTGTTCCAGTTTAAGCTGAGCCTCAGTGCCTAGTGTGATAACCAAAACTTGTTCCAGTTTAAGCTGAGCCTCAGTGTCCAGTGTGATAACCATAACTTGTTCCAGTTTAAGCTGAGCCTCAGTGCCTAGTGTGATAACCAAAACTTGTTCCAGTTTAAGCTGAGCCTCAGTGTCCAGTGTGATAACCATAACTTACTCCAGTTTAAGCTGAGCTTCAGTGCCAAGTGTGATAACCAAAACTTTTTCCAGTTTAAGCTGAGCCTCAGTGTCCAGTGTGATAACCATAGCTTGTTCCAGTTTAAGTTCATGAAATCAATCACACGACTGAACAACAAATTAATATTTTAACCAACATATCCTGCACACGAAATACAGAATTTCTGACAACGAATTTATATATTTTGTAATTGTATTTCCATATTACAGCGCCTCATAGAAGCCACAGAGAAAACGCAAATGGGTAGCGGGCATGGATGAATGGCTCTCCAGGGACCGAGAGAGAAAAGCTATATATTAACAGAATTTATTTTGCTATTCGACGAGGGCTTTTATTGCTGTGTTTTCTTCAACCTTAAAATGAATGGTTGATGCAGATGCTCATTTATCTGTCTTTGATGATGGGGTTTATTTATGACTTCGTGAAATGTGTCGGTGAATGAGGTATTGAAGTAGATGAGAGATTGGACCTGATATTAATTAGTGTTTGCTTGTGTGTGTGTGTGTGTGTGTGTGTGTGTGTGTGTGTGTGTGTGTGTGTGTGTGTGTGTGTGTGTGTGTGTGTGTGTGTGAACTCCTGATGTTCACACACATAAATATCAATATTTTAGCTTATGGACAGACAGGTGTAGTTGGGTAAATAATCCCAAACTCTTAAATCATCTCTCTATATTTCCTCGAAAATGTGTTGGAACACGAAAACGTTCGAAATATCCGTTTCATTTTTCCTAGTGGATACTTACGCATATATATATATATATATATATATATATATATATATATATATATATATATATATATATATATATATATATATATATATATATATTACTGCAGAAGGATGAAATAGTCCACTTCAGAATTAAAACCAGGATCTGTAAAAAAATAATATCTGTTCCAACAGTAGATGTTTGTAAATCACAAATCTACTCATATATATAAAACCCAGAAATTTATATTACAATTTAAGGAGAGAGTGAGATAGAAAAGAGAGCAGTTTTCCTGAAGGAATAGTGTAAAAGACCACAAAACCCAGTAGACTTCTTGCATTTATTAAAATTATGGTGAATACAAAGGAAAATATACAGAAAATAAATTTAAATGATAAAACTAATGACTACGAGGAACATATGTGTGAATACTTAACTACAAATACCAATATGCATTTACTGAGGGGAAAGTACAGAGATCAACAATTTTTAAACACATGACATTCAAATGAGATGAGAACCATTTCCATAAATAGAGGGAGATGTAAAGAATGTATTCGTCAGCATCAATACTATTATTTGATAACAATAAAAACATTAGGTATCAATTTGGAAAACAATTCTTATAGAACTAGAATAGAATTAATAAATGTGATATCACCCTGGGCTGTAAACAAGTGTATGGAAAAGCTGTGCTAGCCAATCTGTATTATTTGTGGTATATCACCTAAAAGAAAATAAATTAGTTAATATATATATATATATAACTAACAAATTAATTATCATTACACAAAAAGAGAGCTAGAAAGAACACTTCAAAAAATATGTTTGCCTAAATCGTTAACAGTTAATCAAATTAGATAATAAAGGGAACTGGGAGAGATTATAGTAGATGGTAGACACTAGAAAAATGTTAGAATATTGCATACTATCGTTCAGTTACTGTAGCACGATAAAAAATATTTTGAATATCTTTCAGTCCTTTGTAAAATAAACTATAGAAGATGTTGTAGTTGTTATTTGGTACACACGAACACACAATCACTGACGCCAAACTGACACATTACACCTTCTGCCGGCTGGCGCCATGGTTAGAAGTCTCTCAATGTATTCAATGACTGAAGCGAGGTCCCAGCTTCCCATGTACACAAGAGGGTGAATCAAAGCATAAATCTCTGACTTGCATTAAAAATGAAGTGTGTTCTATATTTATCTAGATAATGGCCAGCGAGCTATTTAAGCGTAGCATTTGTCTGGTGATCAAACCAAGGCAAAAAAGCTTTATTGAGTCTCTCGACGCAGCTAAGTATGGAAATATATGAGCTTTATACGGTACTTGGACCATTCCCGTTTTTATAATCACGTGATCGATGATGATGCGAAAGTTAATGTTATTTGGATGAGGAGACCCGTTGGACTACTTTATCTCCCTTATGTATCCATTTGTGTATGTATCCACTCACAATACATCTGCTCACTTACTCGTCAACTCATTGCCGGTTTGGATTACCAGCAAGACTGATTGTTACTTGAGAAGGGGGAGGTGTGGATATCGCACTCATTGGTTTTAAAACTTGTTTCATAACTAGCAGTTGGAAAGGTCACATTCGGGAACTCGGTTTAAATTGCGACTTAAACAGCTCGGCCTTCTCTGTGGGATCGCACTCGAGAGCCTTTGATAGCTAGGTCATGATACTAATTACCTTTCACTGATGCCGTTTTAACACGTTAGTCGAAAGTGAGCTTCTTGATCAGACAATGATTAGTTCAGGAGATGATTGAGCCGTTAATCAGGCAAATATTTACTCCTAAGATTTGGCGACTATGATGAGCTATGGAGATGGCTGATCTATTGATCAGACTATGATTACCTATTGAGGTGACTCAGTGATAAGAAAATGATTAGCTTTAGAGATGATTGAGCTATACAAAAAGGCAGAAACTTTGCACAGCCTCATATGATCTATAAGACCGAGACGAGATGAATGACAGAAAGCAGATATCGACAGTTAACCCGGTAGTACAACTGCACCCTTTTCAGATTTGTCCTACCATTCTGAGATTCTCTTTAAGAATGGTACATATTAAAAACGGCTGTGATTCTCGTTGTTCCGGTGCAAATGCCTTAAGGCAACACAGAGCTGCAATGGGGTTAGGGAGTAAGGATATGATTCATTGGCTATAACTAATTATTAATCATTTAGAACGTAAATTTTCAGTGTATATCCTTATCCTCTTTAAGTACCTGCAATGTTTTTTTCCCCGAATATCTGATACTTTTTGTATCATGATTATTAACATATCTTACCCAAAAAATTGGGATTTTATCAAATCACCCGAAAACTCTCATCTTAATAGGCATAAACAAAGCGAATTTACCCGGAGAAAATTAAGACAAATTATCATAAAGGAAATTGCACATACAAAATCAATTACCGTCGCTAAATATGCAAACGAACAGTAAAAGAAAATACTTCAGGAAAATATAGCTGCTTAACCTTAGATAATATTCAACAAAGACTCACATGTCGTGGTGTGTGTGTATATATATATATATATATATATATATATATATATATATATATATATATATATATATATATATATATATATATATCACTGAAAATATTCAATTTCTTGTCACACGCAAAAAATAAGAAAAAAAAAGAGTTCTTTGTTCTTACTTTTTTTCCTGGGAAACTTCCCAGTAGTGTAATGTACACTTTTTTTGTAAAGAATACAAGCTTTAGTATACCTGAACTTATCTTTGGGGTTTGAAGCAATGTTTTGGATTCGATCCGTTTGTCTTTTACTGAAGATGATTTGGCGAGCACGGCCAGCAAATTCAACCCTCTGATAAATTCAACATTTTACACATGTAGGCTGCAAGGTCATGATCTGCAGGGAGCCTGCAGAGTCTGTATCATTTTACACGTGTGAGCTTTATATATATATATATATATATATATATATATATATATATATATATATATATATATTACACGAGAAATTGTATCTCAGGATTAATATGATGAGATATAACACTTACGAATCAAAAGTATATATCACATTAGGCACTCACACTAACTTTAGAAAAGACTGTTAAAAGCAAATTTTGATAACTTGAAACTGTAACATTTTCATAATCAATAACAATCTATAACTAGGGTATATGCTAATGAAAACACTGATTAATATAAAATATCTTGTCGAAAACAAATGGGACTAGCATGAAGATAATACATTCATCTAATGTATAATATATTTACACTAAGTTATATGCAAACGTTATATTGACTCATCTGAAATCCAAATTATTGATATGTGCATTTTAGGGCTTTCAGTTGTGTACTTAAAAACGTTTCATATGTAAATTCCTCATTAATGTTCGGAATTGAAATTATAGGTAACAGACTGGCACAAAATGCTAACAATTCTTCAAATTGCTTGAAATGCTAGGGGGTTTTATAAAAATTAGGTTACTAGATCTATACTGCCATGTAAAGGCACTTTCATTACCGAAATGAATACATAATTACCGTACATGTGTACACAGACTCATGTACACTGCATCACTCTCTCTTACCAACAGTAGCCTCAGTGGTCAAGATATAATTAGTAATGTATTTTAACGCACGATGGAGCGAAACCTAAATTAATCAAGAGATTAAAGCATTCTCGTAATGCGTTTTTTTGTATAATTAGTATTGTCTTCAGCAAATGCAAGTATTACAAACACCATCATCAGTTGGTAGAAAAATATCTATATATGTGATAAGATTTTGATTATAGTATATACAAATCTCTAGGTTTTATGTGTATGGCATAAAAAAAACATAAATTTATATCACTGAAGATTTAAGAATTTTGGAGGTCGTCGGAGTATGGCGGCGGATCTTCCCTTCGTTTATACGCCCCGTGAGGTGTTGAGGTCTCCCTGGCTTCAGAGGTAAAGAGCTGCGTCCTCACCTGCCCTTGGTACGGCGTCTGTCTACCAGTCGGTGTCAGATAGCCAGGGTTTGGCGTACTAGTCAGTGATCGGTATCCCACGATGTGCTCTCTTGGTAGTGAGGAGTAGTCTCCGACAGACCCGCGTGGGGAGTCGATGTAGGCGAAGGACTGGCCTAAGCGTGGAGAATGATAGCCCACCGACCGCCCTCCCGGTAAGGTTGAGTAGCCAGTAGGCTGGCTCCCATGTGGTGAAAGATAGCCCATAGTTTGCCCCCTCTGTGACGTGGGAGACCCGAGGGTTTGTACCCCTGGGTACCCAGCACTATGATGTCCACCAGGTAAAGTGGAGTAGCCAGCCGGTTTTCTCCCAGGCGATGTTGGATAGCCAAGAGATCTTCTACCAGGTGACGTTGGAAAACTAATAGTCTGTCCTTCAGTTAACGTAGGATAGCCAATAGCCAGTGCTGTCACTGACCTGGGATAGCCACCAATACTTAGCCTTCCGGGCGACGAAGGATAGCCAACCGCTGGTCCCCCAGCGGGTGTAGCACAGCCCACAGTCAGTCCTCCAGCTGACGTCCTGTAATTGACAGTCTGTCCAGCGAGTGGCGAAGGGGAGACCTTAGGTCCTGCAGGAACCACAGGACAGGCCTTGGGATAATCATTAGTCCGTGGCTGGGGTCCTGGATCATAACTAGGAGCCTGCCTCAAGGGCAGGAGCTGGTAGGTGCTGGAGGTCCGGGAGGGCACAGTCACTGGACGGTAGAGCTTAGTCCGATCTGGATGACCAGTAGGGAGGGAGTTGAAAGTCTGCCGGGCTGCGCAGCAGAGTCCAAAGAACAAGAAAATCTGCACAACTGTGAAAAGAAAGCCAAATTATAATAATGGATTATATATATGTTATTATTTATAATAAAATTTTGGTATATTTGTATAATATTCAAACAATGATAATTATATTTCACAATGGCTGAAGTGAACAAAAAAATGCATTTCCAGAGTTCCAGCTAAGGTGAACAGAACCGAAAACATTTATTTAATAAATCTTTAATTCAGCAATTCATTCGAAATTTAATAATTTATTTGCTGACAAACTATGATAGAGCAATACACCTCCAATAATACAAATATTGATATTAACAGAGTTAAAAATAAGAGAACTTATATATATATATATATATATATATATATATATATATATATATATATATATATATATATATATATATATATATATATATATATAATTTTTTGCAACGTAAGGCGAGCTCACTGGGCCGCGTCAGTTATGTGAATGAACATACCAGCATCAACATCATCATGCAATAGGAAAAAAACAGCAGAGTTGTTCATCTTGTCACTTGTTTCCAGACACAGCTGGGTACAAATCCGTCTATTTTCGGTCTACTTCTCAACACACACACACACACACTCACTCACTCACTCACTCACTCACTCACTCACTCACTCACTCTCTCTCTCTCTCTCTCTCTCTCTCTCTCTCTCTCTCTCTCTCTCTCTCTCTCTCTCTCAAAAGAGATGGCGGTGTGTGTGAAAGGATGACACGTGGGAGGTAGGATGAGCTGGTTAGGTTTCCTGGGCATGAAACTCGTGCATGCGTTGAAACACACTACTAAACAATTTGATTATATACTCATTGACTTTCCACCAGCCGAACTGGACACTTCTGACTTTCAATTTGCGACCAAAACTGGTTACTCAACAACACTTTACAGTTTCGTGGTGTCGGAAACTATTCAGTATTACAACTTACCGGGACAGCTCTGTTCTCTCTCTCTCTGTCCCTGCAGCTTCCAATGCATTCGAGAGAGATTTGAGCACACTAAACTTTTTTTGACAGGAGGTTAGCAGAAATGCGTGTTCTGCCATCACTAGTGTCTATATACGTCTTATCAGGTATGCAAATTAGCTGTGAAAAGGCACAACGACGTCTCTGAAGATTTGTCATTTAAAAATGAGAACAACAAGGAACAAAAAATAAGCTGTTTTAAGTTCTATATTGTTTGCTATTTAACTTGATCTATTGTTGAGAGAGTTAAGAGCCAGTCGAGTTGGCTGTCCTATAGGCAATACTTTGGGCAATGTTTACTATTATGCTGATGATCTAGTTCTACTGACATTGACCCAAAATGATATGGAAAATGTGATAGAAATATATGAAAGATATAGAATAGAATACAGTCGGATGCTCAATCCTATCAAATATGCAACGGCTCCCGTTAAATCAATGAACTCGTTTCATATTGATCCCAAACTAAAATTATTAAGTGAACAAATGTCACTGTGAATGAATTCGGTCATCTTGATACCTGGTTGGAATTAAAGTTATTTAACAGTCCATTCCTAAGCTTGTCTGGATATGAACTATAGGACCTTCAAAAAGCTGCTCTTGGATAGCTTAATTGTGAATAGAGGAACTATTTAAGAAGAATTCTCGACGGTTCATTCTCGCACTCCCAAGGATATCAGTTCTTAAGACGGGCTCACCATAGCCCGTGCTACTTGGAACTTTTCGTTCCAGGTAGCGAATCTACAACAACAACAATCAGTTCTTTTAAATTACCTTCTCGTCATCCTTTGTGATATGAATAGTGATACGTCCTTCATTTGTGATATGAATTGTGATACGTCCTTCATTTGTGATATGAATTGTGTCAATATCTAACTGTTCTAATGGTAATATTCAGTATATTTTTCCAATATATAAAATATCTCATTTCGAGCTGTAAGGCAAATGTTAATCACTTTACGCCACATGCTTAAGTTTGATTTAGGCTGATGGACACCTCTTTAGTTCACCATTATTGTGTAATATATACTTGTGTAATATATACACAATGAAACAAACGTAGTTTCTGATTCTGAGTTTGGACAACTGTAATGATTTTGAAATCACATATAAATGTCCCTTCTAAATCTAATTCTAAACCTAGAATATACACATCAAGTTATTGTACATTTTATATGTTATACTATTAATATTATGACTTTCTCATAGGTAAACAAATTATGGTAAATTTGCATAATCTAACCCAAACATTTATAATTAAAATTTTTGAAAATTAATTTGAATGTGTACAGACAGTCGCTCGCACTGGATCATCACCTGACACCGACAGAGAGCGTTATCAGGTTGTTTACAACCTGATAACAGGTTCTGATCGTCAACAGCCTCATCAGAACACCGTCAACCCAACTCCTGTTGTTCGATTTAAGTGATACGGATCGCCTTATGACATATATCACTATAACACACACACACACACACACACACACACACACACACACACACACACACACATACACATACACATACACACGCACAAGCACTAGGAGACACAGGTGGAAATTGAGTGCCCAAATGAGCCATAGAGACGTTACAAAGAATTTTTTCAGTGTCAGAGTAGTTGACAAATGGAATGCATTAGGAAGTGATGTGGTGGAGGCTGACTCCATACACAGCTTCAAATGTAGATATGATAGAGCCCAATAGGCTCAGGAACCTGTACACCAGTTGATTGACAGTTGAGAGGCGGGACCAAAGAGCCAAAGCTCAACCCCCGCAAGCACAATTAGGTGAGTACAATTAGGTGAGTACACACACCCACACACACAGCAGGGTGTCGGTTCTAAGAGGATGTCGAAATTAAAAATAGGACCTCATGAGCCATGTGGTAACATAAACTGCTGTTGTTGTTGTGGTGGCGATGCCAGGTGGATAATTTCGAGCGTGTGGCGGGCTATACGATGTCGTCAGTGCGGGTAGTGTGGATAGCTGACGTGTGGGCAAAATATGGCTGTCTTTCCCCGGCATACACCACCTCCACCACCACCACTACCACAGTTGCTGGTGTATAGAGTCAGCAAGTTGTGGTGGCGTGTATTTGTGTCTGGTTATTGCATGATTTCAATGCATCTGTTCATGGTATTCTTTATTTCCTTCCCTCTCTCCTGTCCCTTTTTATTTTTTTTCACTATCCTTCGCTTCTTTAGTCTTTTGTTTACTCTCATATAATTTCCTTTCTGCCATGTTCTTTTGGTCGCTTTTCCTTCCCTCTCTCTTTGTGCATCTCTTTCTGCTATCCTTCCTTCCCTTTCCTATTCTTCCCTCCTTCCCTCTTCATCTGTCCTTTCTTTTTTTCCTCTATGGTTCCCTTTCTCCGTCCTTCTCTCTTTCCCCCACCTATTCTTTTCTCTATCCCTAACCCCTCCCTCCGATACCTATCTCATTCTTCCCTCCCCTAACATTCTCTCACCCTGACCTCCTATCCCTTATACAGCCTTCCTTCCCTTCCATCTTTACCCTTCCTTCCCTTCCCTCTATACTGTTCCTTTCCTTCCATCTTTAACCTTCTTTCCATTCCATCTTTACCCTTCCTTCCCCTCCCTCTATACTGTTCATTTCCTTCCATCTTTACCCTTCCATCTTTACCCTTCCTTCCCTTCCATCTTTACCCTTCCTTTCCTTCCATCTTTACCCTTCCTTTCCTTCCATCTTTACCCTTCCTTCCCTTCCATCTTTACCCTTCCCTTCCTTCCTTCCCTTCCAACTTTACCCTTCCTTCCCTTCCCTCTATACTGTTCATTCCCTTCCATCTTTACCCTTCCCTTCCATCTTTGCCTTCCCGGCCCTGTTCCTTATACTCACCCCCAAGAAGCATGAGGATAATTCCGACTACCCAGAACCCAGTGACCATCTGGAGATCAGAGGTGAAGAGGACGACGCCAATCATGGAACAGGCGACGCCGAAGGTCACCAGGAGGAAGATGCAGGTCCTGTCCACGGTCCTGCCACACACCTGCAATGATGGGGTGAAGCTGAGTCTTCCCAAGTACTCACTCTCTCTCTTATAGGCTGGTGGGCATGTGTGTAGGGCAGGTTTGTATGAGTGTAGGGTAGGTTTGTATGTGTGTGTAGGTCAGGTTTGTATGTGTATAGGTCAGGTTTGTATGAGTGTAGGGTAGGTTTGTATGTGTGTAAGTCAGGTTTGTATGAGTGTAGGTCAGGCTTGTATGTGTGTAGGTCAAGTTTGTATGTGTGTAGGTTAGGTTTGTATGAGTCTAAGTCAGGTTTGTATGAGTGTAAGTCAGGTTTGTATGTGTGTAAGTCAGGTTTGTATGAGTGTAAGTCAGGTTTGTATGAGTCTAAGTCAGGTTTGTATGTGTGTAAATCAGGTTTGCATGAGTGTAAGTCAGGTTTGTATATGTGTAGGGGAGGTTTGTATGTGTGTAGGTCAGGTTTGTATGTGTGTAGGGGAGGTTTGTATGTGTGTAGGTCAGGTTTGTATGAGTGTAAGTCAGGTTTATATGAGTGTAGGTCAAGTTTGTATGTGTGTAAGTCAGGTTTGTATGAGTGTAAGTCAGGTTTGTAAGAGTGTAAGTCAGGTTTGTATGTGTAGGTGTGGTAGATCAGGTTGGTACTCACCTAGTTGCGCTTGCGGGGATTGAGCTCTGGCTCTTTGGTCCCGCTTCTACACTCAGTTAACTAATGTACAGATTCTGGAGCCAATTGGGCTCTATCAAATCTACATTTGAAACTGTGTATGGTGTCTGGATTGTATGTAGGACAGGTTTGTTTGTGTACGTCAAGTTGATATGTGTACATACGATTGGTGTGTGTGTTTGTGTGTATGTGTTTGTGTGTGTGTACTCACCTAATTGTACTCACCTAATTGTGCTTTTGGGGGTTGAGCTCTGGCTCTTTGGTCCCGCCTCTCAACGGTCAACACACCTGTGTGTGTGTGTACTCACCTAGTTGTGTTTGCGGGGGTTGAGCTCTGGCTCTTTGTGTGTGTGTGTGTGTGTGTCAGGTCGTTCTGCGTTGGTCAGGTCATTCATTGAAGATTAGAAGGTGTTTGTGAAGATTTTTCTTCATGAATGAATTTAGGTTAGAGACAGTTTGTTTAGCGCGGGTCAGTGTGAATCAAATCATTCTTTATGGGTTATTTTGTAATATTTTGCCCAGTCAGTTCTTTGTGTGTCAGTTTCTTCTGAATTTTGTCACGGGTTTCAGAATATATCTGTTCCTTCTGTATTAATTAGTCTGACCTGTGTTGGTCAATTCGTTCTGTGTTGATCAGTTCATTCTGGGATTTTTATTTTCATGGATATTTTAATTTTCATTATTTTCTTTCATTTTATGGAAGAGACGCTACAAATAAACATCGAATCCTTTCATTACCTTGTTAGATGGGTTTAGGTATGGAGCCGGTATTGGTGGAGCCGGTGGCTGAGCAGACAGAACACTGGACGCGTGATCCTGTGGTCCCGGGTTCGATCCCGGGCGCCGGTGAGAAACAATGGGCAGAGTTTCTTTCACCCTGATGCCCCTGTTACCTAGCAGTAAATAGGTACCTAGGAGTCAGCTGTCACGGGCTGCTTCCTGGGGGTGGAGGCCTGGTCGAGGACCGGGCCGCGGGGACACTAAGCCCCGAAATCATCTCCAGATAACCAGATGACGTTAATGATGTCTGGCTCCACAAAAGCACATGCAGTGAACATATATCGAATTTCGCCGGGATTTGTCTTGTAAACCCCGGAAAGCGATAGGGGGGTTAGGTTAAATGTAACTGGTCGGCAACAGTCTTGTCGGCAACAGTCTTGTCTGCAACAGTCTTATCTGCAACAGTCTTGTCGGCAACAGTCTTGTCGGCAACAGTCTTGTCTGCAACAGTCTTGTCGGCAACAGTCTTGTCTGCAACAGTCTTGTCGGCAACAGTCTTGTCTGCAACAGTCTTGTCGGCAACAGTCTTGTCTGCAACACTCTTGTCGGCAACAGTCTTGTCGGCAACAGTCTTGTCTGCAACAGTCTTGTCGGCAGCGTTTCGCTGTTGTCGGCACTAATGGTCGTCGGGTGTGTGCTTTATTGAGCCATGCATCCGGCCTCGCTAGATCTGGCTCCGTGTCACGCGTCGAAAAGTTTACTTGGAACATTTCCCATGCTAAAATTTTCGTCCTTTCAGTGCCTTGTGCTTGAGTTTATGGATTAGTTTTTCAAGCACTTGGGCTGGAGGGTAGAGCGACGGTCTCGCTTCATGCAGGTCGGCGTTCAATCTCCGACCGTCCAAGTGGTTGGGCACCATTCCTTCTCCCCGTCCCATCCCAAATCCTTATCCTGACCCCCCTTCCAAGGGCTATATAGTCGTAATGGCTTGGCGCTTCCCTCCTGGTAATTCCCTCCCTCCCTCTCCTATTTCAAGAATACTGCATTTTTTTTCAAAATGAAATTTCATTAATTATTTTCTGTACCGCAAATTTCAAGGTTTCATGGCAAATAATTTGTCATAAATATATAAGTAAAAGCAAAGTTGAATTATTACACCACAGCATTATTATTATTTAGGCCTAGATAGCTTAAGCATATGCTGACCACAGTGGGAATTATGTAACCTAAAAGTGTTTTGTCTAAATTGAAATAATTGTCCAATTATCGTTTACCATTTCTAATTCTAATTCAAAGTGGTAGCCAAGCAATAGATTAACCCTGTATGTGTTTACCTAAATAATTGTTTTTAGCCTAAAACTAAGGTAAACTACCCCATTTCAATTTAATTTGAGTTTGATAGTATCAAATTTATACCTTCTGCAGGAAGGTCTTACCTGTGCCCCACGCCTCAGGTATACAGGACCCACCATGGGGACCATCTGCACTGTCGTTGTGGCCGTCGTGGTGGTGGTGGTGGGGGCCTCTCGAACCCTCGCCTGCGTCCCTTGGTCTCCCGTTACTGCAACGACGCAAAAACCAGGTTTTAGGTCATATTCTCGCTTTAAAATTCTCTCTCTCTCTCACGCACTCACACACAAGCACATTGATTAGCGGACCGAGGATCCGTGCCCTCATATATATATATATATATATATATATATATATATATATATATATATATATATATATATATATATATATATATATAATATACTCTCGTACAAGTGTTGGGACCCATAGCCTCGGAGAAGAAAATAAGGAGTATTCAGAGAAGACCTTGTGGATTCTCCCTGAACACTTTAATATTATCTTCTCCTACCACCCCCCTTCTTTTGTATGTACACATAAATATTTGGTTTATTTAAACTTTGTTACAAAAAAGAGTTACATATAGGGTACAAAGATGATTATCATAAGTTGTCGAGTTCCTACAGCTCCTCTGATGGCGGGCAGGAACCCTGGATGCAGTGTACATTTTCCCTCTGTGTCGCCACACTGAGGCGCTGGAAAAGGAAGCTGGTAGCTCTAGGGGTCTCTTGTTGTTTCAATTAGTCAAGAACCGAGTTCCTTCAAAAAACTGATGGCACTCTTACCCCAGGCGCCGAGTGTCTCAGAAGCAATGGGGACAAAATTGTAGTGGTGGTCCAGTTCTCTGTACTTACGGTATTTGGGTGATTCCCTGTTAGTGGCAGCGCTACCTGGTTGTGCAGCACTGAAGTCAATGTAAGTGTTAGCTAGGGATGATACGCACGTGTACCAACTGGTTGGTTGATTGGTCAACTGCTTGCCATTCTTCCAGGGGTTCACTGTGATACCATCCGGGCGACCAATAAGAGCATCAGAGTTACGGGGCGTTAGGTAACGGGGCTCTCTTTCAGCTGGGCATCCAGCTGTGGTGAGGCTCCTCTTGATGATGTCGTTAACTTCACTGTGCCTCGAGTGCTATCCCTCTGTGCTTTGGCAGAGTAGGCCATGGTGGCCGTACCTGTCAGCCACCACCTCGCTGCAAATACAACGATATCTGGTGTGGATTGGGGCAGCAAGGCGAAGGGCCACAGCAATTCGGAGGGCGTGTGGTGTGAGACGCGTGCCAGTTGCCGACATTGGGGTTGCTAACATAAAATTCCCTGCATGTGGTGCTGCTACTGCTGTGAGGCGAGCAAAGTCGTGTTGTGTTGTTGCAGCACCCAGAAGCTCTGCAGTAACTTGGTCTACAATGGGGCCATCCAAACTGGATTGCTGGTGGGCTTTTGGGGATGGTGGTTGAGGTGATGGGCCTGCACGAGAGGCCCACTTGATATATATAATAAATAGTTAAATAAACACGTGTGGTCCCTCCTTATCTGCACAGAACCGGAATCAATTTGGAATTGAAAGGGAGGGAGGCAAGATGGAGGTTGTCATAAAGTTGTGGGAACGTAGCTACAATAGAGGGGGGGGGGATTTGGATTTATTGTAGGAATTACAATAAACAGATTGGAAAAAATTTCAACGTTAGCAGAGACGGTCATAAGGAGCATCAAAGAAAATGCGCTTCATATAAAATAAGGATTGTTAATCAATTGTTAGTTTATTGGAAACCAAACTGTGAGATTGGTTTCCTCGGGGTAGACTCCTTTTGTGGACAGGCTAAAAAAAACATTTATACCATAAGCGAGGATAGCATTGCAGAACGCGGCAAGCAGTCACTTGGCAGGAAGCATTAGTTTGCTACAACAAAGTAAGAAAAGATTTGTGTTAGGAATTCAAGAAAAAGGATATATCAAGAAGGAATGGCGAGCAGACGACAGTGCTGCAATGACAGGGGGATCTTGACAGAGCTGTAATGACAGATCTTGACTGCTGCAATGACAGGGGGATCTTGACAGAGCTGCAGTAACAGGAGATCTTGACAGAGCTGCAATGACTGGGGATCTTGACAGAGCTGCAATGACAGGGGGATCTTGACAGAGCTGCAGTAACAGGAGATCTTGACAGAGCTGCAATGACAGGGGATCTTGACAGAGCTGCAATGACAGGAGATCTTGACAGAGCTGCAATGACAGGGGATCTTGACAGAGCTGCAATGACAGGAGATCTTGACAGAGCTGCAATGACAGGGGATCTTGACAGAGATGCAATGACAGGAGATCTTGACATAGGTGCAATGACAGGGGATTTTGACAGAGATGCAATGACAGGAGATCTTGACAGAGCTGCAATGACAGGGGATCTTGACAGAGATGCAATGACAGGAGATCTTGACAGAGCTGCAATGACAGGGGATCTTGACAGAGATGCAATGACAGGGTATCTTGTCAGAGATGTAGACGGCAGCAGCTGAAGGCAATACAGAGATTTTAAGACAAATCCAGCACACGAAGGAAGTACATTAGCTTGGATAGTCAATATTCACAAAGCAGACTACAAAAGAGTTAATCCTGAGATCGAAAAACAAACTTGAGCAAGCATCAGATAATAGCAAAGTATTAGTTCAGATTAAAATAACTATAGAAGCGAGAGTTGCAGTAGCATAGACAACTGGAGAAATTCATTGGGAGAGGGAGGAGAGTTGAATACTTCTAACCCCAAGTTTGACGACCCAAGATATAACCAAAACATAATTATAAACCATCCATTTGACACTCTTCCTGTACACTTTTCCATCTACCCTTCATTCCAACCATCCAAACATGTTCTTATCCATCACTGCCCATCCTCCCTCAACCACTGCTCAATATCCTTCGCCCCCCCCCAAAAAAAAATAACACATTCATATGAAAATCTTAACACAGAACTAACCCCCTTAACTTGCCTCTCCTCCAGCTTTTAATTCACCTGATTCTCCATTATCTAATTTAACTCTTTCTAAGCCACCGTCAATCTCCGTACCAGATGTTAGTCCAACACTACCACCCTCTCCATCTCCCCAGCAGACACACGAGGCTGCCTCCTACACCCATCGGATGAAAGATAAGAAGGCGTGAAGAAGGTAATAAACAGAGGGAAGTGGGTCTTAGGCAACTATTGCTATAATAAAAGGTCGTATGAAGATTAAAAGGTGGTACCCATGAGCTCAAGTTTAACTCAGGCAATCACAGTTTGGTGAGTAGCAAATTCTTACACAAGTTACCCCTCATCTGTGTTTTTATCTGAAAATTTGCAAAATATAACAACGTTATTGATATTCAACATGATAGTTAGCTAGGTTAGGTTCCATTGTTATTAACAAACTTTTCGTTTTGGTTTCCCAAATTTCAGGAGAATAATTTTATTTCTGAAAAATATGCAATATGAATTTCATCACTGCAATTTTAGCATAAACAAATATTTTCCAAATAAAAAAATTTAGTTTTTACATTATTTTTATTCGCAAGCTGCACATAACTCAGATATAAATGTTTTCGTTTTATGCTTCGCCTGAATTATTTTTTTACTTATTTTCATTTCTAGACACAATATATGCAAAAATAAACGAAAGGCTATAAATCAAAAAATGTTTTGAACGGGAGTAACGTATATGTCTTTTCAACATCGTGTAAAATGCCCTTCAAAGCAGCACTTTGAAGAAAACACACGAAGAAAACACATTCAAGATATTTGGCTTTAGAAGGCATTATTTCTGTCACATTAATCAGAGCCTCTGCCAAGGTTATTCATCAATCCAATAAATTTGTCTTCCATTTAATATTGTATAGATATAACTTAATTTTTATTATATATCATGGATTGTGTAGCACACGAATTGCAATATACTAATGTTATCTCATCTTAGTGCTGTTGCAATTACTCGACTTGTGTAAGGGACGCCATTATTACAAAAATATAAATCAATTTCCTGAGCAGTCCATTGATTTAATCTTCATAACACCACTATATATATATTAATAATGTATTGTCATGCCATTACCATATTAACCTAGAATTTCTTATCAGTCAATGTTGATCCTGAGATGTTTCATTAAAGATTATACGTGAGTATATAGTTATTATTATTATTATTATTATTATTATTTGCCCGAAACGCTGTGTGTGCTAGTGGCTTTACAAGAATGTAAAATCAACATCATTTCTATGATCTCTCCCAATGTACCTTCTTGTATATAAATAAATGAATAAATAAATAAATTATTATTATTAATTATATTAATCAACAGGATCTAAAACAAGCTACATGTGTTAACAACACGTAGTGTTTGACATGGCTGAACTATGTCATTGACTATTTATGAGTTTTCTTGGGAATGTTGTTGCGAAAATTCTGCTCAATGTGACACGAGTGAAAAAATTTGTCCAAGCGTAAAGCAAGCAGCTAAGTTTGTTTCGTCAAGACCCTGATTGACATAATACTTGTGTTGTTTAAATAAAGCCAGAATATCAGCCGGTTAGGTGAGTGTGTAAGTTATCTTATTCAGTCCATAGAAGAGTTTTAGAGTATACCTGGAATAGTTCATCGAGGCAAAAAGGGGGGGGGGGACCTTCGACAAGTAGCCGGCTTCCTGTCCTCGTCGAGACCACTAGAGTTAATGGCCCTCGGGTAAAAAAAATAATCAGAAGCTCCCAACAGTTGATGCAAAGCTTCTGTAATATCCTAATGATATCAATTATTATTCTCGCATATAATTCTCATAATTATTACTCGCGCAGGCGGGAGAGATACATAATAATTTTACATGTGAAAAATATTAGAGGGGCTGATCCCAAACCTGCACACAGAAATAACACCACATGAGACCAGAAGACATGGCAGAATGTGCAGAATACCCAAGTTGAAAAGCAGAGGTGCAATAGGTACTCTGAGAGAGAACTCCATCAACATCAGAGGCCCAAGACTGTTCAACACGTTTCCACTACACATAAGGGGCATAACTGGCCGACCCCCTCACAGTGTTCAAGAGAGAAGTCAATAAACACCTCCAAAGGATACCTGATCAACCAAGCTGTGACTCATACGTCAGGCTGCGAGGAGCCACGTCTAACAGCCTGGTTGACCAGTCCAGCAACAAGGAAGTCTGATCAAGAACCGGGCCGCGGGGAGGCTAAGCCCCGAAACCATCTCAAGGTAAGGGTATCCATGAGTTCCCCTCAGCTATTACCTATTGCTGGTTGAATGGCACTCTTATTGATCTAAGTTTCCATAGGTTACGAGTTCGATTCCCCGCTGAGGTTGAAGTACTGTTTTCAGACTTAAATACATCTCCAGAGTATAACCGTATCCCACCTGCTAGTGGAAATAGCCAAATATATAATATATATATATATATATATATATATATATATATATATATATATATATATATATATATATATATATATATATATATGTAACAGCCTGCTACATCTCTTCCATATGTTCCTCTGGTGACCTAATCCGTCGTACTGCATTCCTACTCCTACATATCTCCCGCTTCCTCTTTCCACGTGACTAATCCTCTCTCGCCTCTCACTCTAGGTCTTCCATTTGCCTCGCTACCTTTAACTCTCCCCCCCCCCCCTCCACTCCCCTCTCTCTTATCCCATATGTCCTCAACCCTCAACTCGCCTACCTACCTACCTACCTATCCCCCGTTGTATCGCGAAGTGCTCTATTATACCCACTGCACTAAAAGTGGGAGAACAGGTCTCTAGCCCTATGTAAGGTGGACGGGTATGTTTGCTGGTTGTATAAATGTATGACCACTTCTGTGGTAGAGAATAAACGATTCAAAAAAAAATCCTCCACCCTTCCACCTCTCGTCCACAATCCTGCACAATCCTCGCCCCCCCCCCTCCCCCCCGTTGGCCTGACAGCCAGCCCCCCCCCCTCCCCCCCGTTGGCCTGACAGCCAGCCCCCCCCCCCTCCCCCCCGTTGGCCTGACAGCCAGCCCCCCCCCCTCCCCCCCGTTGGCCTGACAGCCAGCCCCCCCCCCCCCTATACAACTACTTACTTCCCTTCGCTCACATCTCACAGGATTTATGAAAGAATCTTTAGACACTGTTATTCTATAGCCTAAAACTCTCGCCTTGAGAGGTTTAACGTAATAGTGGCATATCTGATACGTTATCTGCTGTAAGTTAAATTAACATTTTGCCCCGAGGGGTGAGTTTAAGAGTGACCTGCCACCCATCCTGTGAGTGGACATACCGCCATAGCAGCATGTATAACACTCCCCAATAGAAAAAAACCCGCTGGGTTGTTCATCCTATCACTTGTACCCAGACTCCCAGTCACAGTTGGGACTTGCTTAACTGTCTCAAGATGCTAATTATGTCTTACACTGGGGTCAAGCAATATCTTAATTTCTTTGTTTATGCCTAAGCATGAAAACAATTTAGCTGAACTTGTGATATTTCTGCTGAAATTTATTAAATGGAGAAAAGAAATTGCATGGAGAAAAATTGCAATATAATTGCAACGATAATAATAATAAATACAACAATATAATATTCTGAGTAATAACTTTACACTACACATCAAAATGGGTATACGGGTATACTGGTCTTTTTGAGGCATTACTTAACAAAATGATCCTAATTAAACACTTAATTTACCTTTAGTACTGTAACAACATATGAATGCACCTAACTGCAGAAGGTCTATTGGCCCATACGAGGCAGCTCCTATTTATACCCACGCAATCTCATTCATATATATATATATATATATATATATATATATATATATATATATATATATATATATATATATATATATATATATATATGTGTGTGTGTGTGTGTGTCTAACTTATGCTTGAAACAATCAAGGGATTCTACTTGGTCTAGCCTGAATTCTGAGGCACAGAATAACTCCTTCATTGATCATTTACACCCGGATGACTTGTTGCTCAATCTGAAATATATTACACTGAAAATGTGACTGACAGCTCAACACTCATATGAGGATGGAGAGGAACCTCTCAAACCATTTGCCTATTCTGGCTGTCTGTCAAATGCCAAGGTTACAATTTGTTGAGCCTGCTGTTACGCAAGTCAGATGGAGCTGAACCACTTAAGACTGTTCGCCCTCTAATCCCCGATGGTTCAAGTGGTTGGGGCACTGTTCCTTCCCTCTGTCCCGTCCCAGATCCTTGTTCTTATATTCCTCTCGTGTTCTAGTAATCATCACCCATTTTTTTTTTCAATTTTGCCCCGAGGGCGAGTTTATTGGGCAGCGCCACTCATCCTGTGAGTGGACACACCGCCATAGCAGCATGTACAACACTCCCCAAATGGAAGAAAACCCGCTGGGTTGTTCATCCTGTCAACATCATCAGCAGCCTTCGCTCAGCGACAAATGTGTCCTGCCATCACCTTCCCCAAGGTAGAAATAAGTCGTGATCAATGATCCATGTAGCAGTTGGCATTTTGTTTTCCTTTGCCATGTTATACATATGCAGACGAGGAGTCACAATAACGTGGCAGAAATATGTTGACCAAACCACACACGAGAAAGTGAAGGGACGACGACCTTTCGGTCCGTCCTGGACCATTCTCAAGTCGATTGTGAATGGTCCAGGAAGGACCGAAACGTCGTCGTCCCTTCACTCTCAAATGTGTGGTCTGGTCAACATGTTCTACATAGCCCTACTGGCTGAATTAGCGCTGCCTCCTGATGATTACCTGCCCAGCTAACCATATAAGACATCAGGTGTGTAAAAGCCAGTATGATAGTGAACATCAAGCCACTTTAGATAACTTGCATGAAATTTCTCTCTGGATTTCCTATCGTACTTGTAACAATCTACGTTCTTCTGGAGACCTACTGAGAGAAATTCAAACCCATATAGAGAATACAAAATAAAAAACATGATAAATATTACATAATATTTAAAATACGTAATTATATGCAATATGAAATAACATAAAA